GCAATATGTTGATCGTTTATCTGCTTTTAGTTTTGTACACCAGCCGTCTGGTGGACGCTGAAAAAGGTGAGCCTTGCGCATATTATTATTATTATTAAATTTATCCCGTAAATATCTCCTCTGCTTGTCCGGGTGATTTGTTGTCGTTATCCATGTGTTCATTTACACGGGAACAATTTAATTAAGCTCCATTAATGTTTTTTGGTCGTTTGTGGGTTGGGTCCTGCGAATATTTTTCAATTATTCGAGTTAAATCCCACAAATATTGACCATGGATCGTGGAAATTATAAACCTTATTGAAAATTTCTTGTAACTAATGGATTCATATTGTCATTAAAAATTCTACTATTGAACAAGTCTAGAAGTCGTTTGAAAATAAGAAATTGTCGGGTGGTAATATTCTTCACAGCTTTTATTTTAATTAAGTTTTAGTCTAATAGGTCACTTTTCGTCACTTTTTTATTGATTGTGTTTATTGCAATTCTCTGAAACTTAATTGTTGTGTAATAAAATTTCAACGTATTAGGGAAATATAACTGACTCAATACACACTTCAAAAATAATCTAATATTCATTCAATGTCATCTTCGTTTGTACCATCCCTCAAATTAATGACTATGAATGTTAATTAATGATCGATGTGATTTTATTCAAAATACGAGTAAATAATTTTAGAATTAATATTTTTCATTTTCAGTAATAGATTTTTTATTAATGGTTCTATTATTGTTATAATTTTTCGAAAATACTTTAATTTCTATTACTCACTAGTTTTAATTACATTAAAGTGTGATTTTATAATTTGTGCTTTAAGTCTTAACTACGCATTGTAATTATAATAATAACACATTTATTTATCAGCTATTATTTATGATGGTCAGTTATACTTTTAGTGGAAATCCAAAATAATAATTGTGCGCTTCCTTAGTTAAGATGCAAATAACTTTAATTTTAAATTAATAATTTCTGTATTACAAAATACACTTGTAGTGCCTACACATAGTTATAAATTAATTTTTTACCCAAATTTAAAGATTTGTAACTTGTAAAACGATTCAAATTTATTTACATCATACTATAAGCATAAGAAAAATATTGTCACCATTATGAGAAAAAAACTAATATTTCTGAAGGTGTTTATATTTTGAGTACCTTTTCTAATTAAAAAATTACAAAAATAATTTTCAATATTTATTTTGAAAGCTATTTTTCTTTACTTCATAATAAAAAAAAAGAATAACGTGATTTATAATACTTTTTTTTAATTTTATAATACTTTTACTTGATATGATTTTTCTTTAGTAACTATTTAAATTGTTTTTTTTATATACAATAAAATAAAGCAAATATACTTTATATATGTTTTTACAATTGTGTTGTATTGCGAATTTCGGTACAAAATAATATAGTTTTATTATTATTATTAAATTTTAAAACAATAATAAATGATAAATTAAAGCATTTAAAAAATAATTGTTAAAAGAATTTACAAAAGCATTTTTGTAATTTTTCAAAATGTAAGATCTCGTTAAATAACTTTTTTGCAAAAATGTATTAATTAGTACGGTTAAGTGTAGTTACATAGTTAAATAACTGTTTAATATACAAAAAAAAAAATAGTATTAAAATTAAAATATTTTTTTTTTTAAATAACTTTAAAACATAATACTTACGAAAGATAGACGGGTATATAAAAGTAGTATAATAAAAAAACAGAATAACTGATGTAATAAATTATAATAAAATTTACGCAATCCATTCAATTTTATTTTATTTAAAAATGTTGAATGTTTTGTAATAATTTTTTGAAGCATATAATATTTGAATTCTATATCATTTTTTCGTAGCTTTTTTTTTTAAGAAAAAATGAATACACATGATTTATTTTCACTTCCAAGTGTAGTAATAAATTGTAGGCAAATTATAAGATTTTACAAGAAATGCAGTAGTTGTGTAAGTTGAAAAACAAAATATATACACTACGTACATTGTTATAGTACCATCATCTTTAAAGTATGGCGAATAATTATTAATTGAGCGGATAGTTGTCTCGACATTACATTGTTGACATAGGCTTGGTACAGCAATAATTACGTCATAATGCTAATTGGCCACGATAAACTCTTAAAATACTGTGTGTTTACCAATTTAGGGAACACTACATTTCTCGGCCGGATTATGTTGGAATAAATCGAATTTTTTTTTACAAGCTAGTAGTATATAAATACACATTTTTAGATAAATTTCAAATTTTTAAAACCTCTCGGTACGCGCATGCGCAATGTTACTTATTTCTTTTTTAATAGCAACCGGTATTTTGATACCAAATTTGGATAGACTGAATTTTTTTAATTCATTTTTACCAACTAACCATGCCTCTAAAATCAAAATTGACTGAATGAGAGTCATTTAAATTTTAATAAATAATACATTTTTACAATTCATTATAAAACGGGTTTGGTAAATTGAGTCCCATTTTATTAATTTTATTAATTTTAGGTAAACTGAGTCCCACCTTAAAAAAAAAAAAAAGCTAAATTGAGTCCCTCATAAAAATGAAATCCATAAATTGAGTCCCTCGTATAAAAATTAAAGCGGTAATTTGAAATATAATGAAATGCTGTTTTTTTTTTATTTAACACACTTTTAATTATATTAAAACCATGGATCAATGTATGATTCTTGACTCAAGATTTTCACCTATTCATATTTTTATAGACTTTGAAAAAGCTATACACAATGCCGCCCAACAAATTTGGCCAGCAATTAATATTAAAAGTTGTCGTTTTCACCTTGGACAAAGTTGGTGGAAAAAAAATACAATGTCTAGGTATAAGTAAAAATTATAAAAAACAAAATTCGGACGGAAGTAATTTTTTAAAATTATATAATTATAATTTTTAAGTCTTAAAGATGTTTATGATTGTTTCATTGAAGATATTCTGCCAAAACTTCCTTCAAATGAAAATACAAAATCGTTGGTCGATTATATTCTTAAAACATATATTGCATCAGATTGTACATTCCCGCCTTATGTTTGGGCTGAATTTTCGACAACATCATACAACATCGCTCTCATTCAGTCAATTTTGGTTTTAGAGTCATGATTAATTAGTCAAAATGACTTAAAAAAATTTAGTCTATCCGAATTTGATATCAAAAATACCGATTACTATTAAAAAATAAATAAGTTGCATAGCACATGCACGTACCGAGAGGGTTAAAAATTTGAAATTTATATTGAAATTGGTGAACACATGGTATAATTTCACATATTTTCATCTTCACCGAATTCCTCATCGGCGAATATTGCGTGCGCTTAAATAATAATAATAATAACAATAATGATATTATCGATTTGTGTGTTATGCACATCGCGTTATTGACATTTTATACTTCCAACAATCGGTTTTAGCGCTCGCTTCAGAAGCACTGTACGATCTGCTACGAACGAACATTGATGTTTTTCCCTAAAGGCATATTACAATAGACACGTTCGCCGATACTTGCAGGCCGATCGAAAATGTTTTCGAAGCGGCGGCGGCAGTATTTGTGCATCGAATTTCGTAAATGCCCATCAAACACGTTTCTTGACGCCGAGGTGGCATGTGTATTATGTGAAACGTAAAACAGACGTACATACTCGAAAAACACATGTTAGAGTGACTCTACCGTGAACATTCGGGTGATATGGTATATGTCAGTTTTCCTCCCTCGACACACAAATAAATAACCGTTGCCCATAAACTTCGATATTATCGTTTCTGAACTAGAAACACATTACGGGTACGTGTACATATACAATACGTAATACTTAACGTATTTTATATAGTATACAACTAACCACTATCCGACACAGCAAAAAGCGGCTATTATAGACGTTTCTTAAGAGTGTGCGTTGTTTAAATAGCTAAATAGGACACGGACAACATACCATAAGGTTATTTCCGACTGGAATACAGTGTGTTAAGTGTACAGGAGAATGAGGAGGACTACGTATATAACGAAATCCGAGATATAGAACGCTAACGAGGCGCGTTCATCTGAGCAGAAGACGGTTGAATCGGAAATAATTGAGCATGATAAATGCGAATTTCTAGTGTTTTAAAAATATACACGTACATTTAACTGCGGTGGATTTATTAAATTATTTTCCTTGTTTTTTTTTTTCTTAACTCAAGCCAGATTGAGGAATAAAATATACTCTCAATAAATCATAGTGTACAATAGTGGACAAAAATAAATGTTAATTTTTAAAAATGTCGTATAATCAAAGAATCGAGAGTCTATATAAGAAGTAATTCATTTTTGAACTATCGAGAACTTACTGTAATATTACTAACTATTTTTGCACAGTATTATATTTACTTCAGTCTGTAATGAATCATTTAAATGGGCTGCGGTGCAAGCCGAAACACATTTTCCAAAAACCGTTTTATGGCGTACATTATTGTTTTTGTATAGGTACGATTAAGTATCCTGTAAACATACATAACATAGTATAGGCCAGGGGCGGTCAAACGGTCGATTGCGGACGATTTCAGAGATTCAATCATGTTAGAATTTATTTTTAGGCCACGTGCACTTTAACAATGCCCAGATCAACAAAATAAATATTAATATGTTAATTAGACTTAAGTATTTAGATTTTAGAAAATATTATATTATTTTTAGTAATTAGTAATTAGTTTACAATACACTTTAATATATACACTTTAAGCAAGTATGTTTCTTAATAATTATAATTTAATAATAAAAACATTTTTCCAAGAAAGTCGATCTTCAAAGGTGAAGTATATTTTTAGTAGATTGTGGCCGAAAAAAGTTTGACCGCCTCTGATATAGGCTATTCGCGTATATAATTTATAGTGTATAGAGGGCACCGTGCTTTGCGCACCTCGCGTATTGGCAAAACCATATGAAAAGCGTGTATAATTTATGTATAATTGATTGTAGAAAAAATAAAAAATGATATTTATCGTTTTTATTATGTTGACAGCCAAGTGTTGCAGCCGCGTGACCGGGAACTGTAAGAGAGCCTGCGAACAAGTGAGTATTCTTTTATACACCTATAGTTATACAAAACAGTTTAAACAGTTTATATAGTACAATAATATATAGACAATAAAACATACATCACATCGGGTCAGACTACGTAACGCGATATGCGTCATGAAGACGGCACGGTGCGTTCAATATTGTTATTGTTGCAGTGTACCATATACGCGCATACGAGTATATATATACATAATACTAAACAAATGTTTTCGTTTGTGTACATTCTAAGACACGCGTACTCGTATTTAATATAGTGTGTAATGTACTTGAATATATAGGTATTTTACATAATATACTTAGTGCATGACGTACGGCAGACGCGTACACAAGGGGAGGTTTTAGGGGCTTAAACCTCTCCCCAAATTCAGGAAAATTATTAAATATGTTTTTATATAGTAAAAGTGATATATTAATTATGAAAATGTACTACCTAAAATCCCTTTTTCTGTACACGTCTGACGAACGGTAAGTAAATGTACGAATATACAAGTTAACCTGTGTACTTATATGTAATACTTATGAGGTATGCACACAGAGGGAGATTTGACGTTTTTTATACCGATACTAATTTCACGTATTTACATTTCGGTCTTAAGAGATTGATCATCACGAAAATTGTAATTTTTTTTAGTAATCGAGAAAAACATAACTTCATGGTGTAGTCTATTATGAACCAAAGTTATATTTTTGTATGAAGTATTTCGCAGAAATGTTGGAAATATTGTTACATTATCGCCATTGGAAATTCAATTTTACGTCAAAATATGTATAGGCCTAAGCGCGGATCCAGGGGGGGTCATTGTGGTCATGACCCCTCCCAGAAAAACATCAATATTAGGTCCTTCGTGTTTATTTAAAAATTAAAATATGTATAAATTGCGTTTTAAATTTTTTTCAATTAGATTTTTTCTTGCAATAAAAATGTTATACAACATACTATATTTATATACATTTAAACTACATCATCACTTATTCATAAAATCATAATTTCACCATCCAACTTCTAAGAATATTAATAGTGATTATAAACTTACTGATAAACTATAATATTGTTGGCGAATAAATATAAATATAATAGTAAATCTGCTGAAATTTTTGAGTATTCGACCTTCCACGGAAAGATAACTTATCTTAGATAAAATTACTGTCAATCCGTTGGCTGGTACCGAATTGGTTCCCGAGCTCCAACCCAACGTGCCGTTGGTTCTCGTCTGAAAAAGGTATTTTATTAGGTATAGCTGAATTGGTTTCCGTTTAATTACGCACATTTTCCTTCTCAATTTTACAGGCTACTGTCAACTTTAAAGTAGGCTTGGTTAATGTGCGTTAATGTATGTTAAAAAAAAATGATAAAATATATACAATTTTAAATCGTTGATTTGGAAGTTAACTAGTCATTACTTAGGTGTACGAAATACAAATAATAAAATATAATAAATACATTTTAAAACCACTGATTTGCAAATTTGAAGTTAACTTTCTTTAAATATTCAATTCTCGTAATTTTCTCATTAATGAACTCAGTCATACAATTTTCCAAGTATTTGTTATTTCTTTCCTGTTTGCTAGTAATTTGCTAATCTCTAGTAATTTATAGTTTATTATATTTCTATACTCTATCTTATCGATATAATAATTGTGTCTATATGTCATACATATAGCTTTTAAATTTTTGTATTGCTCTCTATGCACTGGCCCGCCTAACCTGTACACAAACGGAAAACAATTCAGTTATACCTAATAAAATACCTTTTTTCACACGGGCACCAATTCGGTTACTCCCAATCCGTTAGCCGTATGTTTATATAATATTATAGGTACCATATACTTGCAATGGCACCGCTAATCGCTAATTTAGGTTCTAATAACTTGTTAAAAAATACTATAAATGCAATCATTCTCCACTCTCAGGCGTCTTAAGATATGGCTTCGTTTAAACATGGGAAAGGAACGCTTTGCTCAATATTCACAAGAATATGCCCATAAATGTTAATAATATTATTTCTAAATTTGGAAAAATAAAACAAAGAAAATTAAACTTTGTTATTTAATTTTAAAAATTAACAATTTCATATATTCATAACTATATTCTAATTTAAAACGAAAGTCATATCAAAAGAGGTTAAAACTCAACTGTATTTGACAATTATACGACCAATAGTCATGTATGGTTCACAATGTTGGACGTTACGAAAGACTGAGGAGGAAAGATTAGCAGTTTTTGAGAGGAAGGTACTTCGTAAAATATATGGACCTATATATGATCAAGAGCTTCAAGGATGGAGAAAAAGACATAATCAAGAACTGACGGAGCTTTTCAATAGACCAAATATTATAAACGAGATCAAACGGAGTAAGTTGGAATGGGCAGGACACGCAGTTGGGAAGCAAGATTCAATGGTTCAAAGGGTACTTCAAAAAAACCCAAAGAGAAAAAGACCACTGGGTAGACCAAGGCTACGCTGGGAAGATGGAATTAAAAAAGATTTCCTAAGTGCTGGCGGAGCGGAATGTGATCACAGGGACTGGAAGGAAGTAGCGGAGAATAGAGAAGAATGGGAAAGGATTTGTTCTATGGCAAGATGGTCTCAAAGGCCTTAATAAAAAAAAAAAAAATAAATAAATAAATATTCTAATTTAAATTAATAATTTACTTTTATTATTTTGTAATAGTGTATTATCTTTTTGTACTTTCGAAAAAATGACCCCCCCCCAATTTGAGTTCTAGATCCACGCCTGTATAGGCCGATTTATCTGATTGGAATGTCAAATAAAGTTTCGAAACTTTCAGGTTGACGTTTATGTAGCTTCGCATTTTCAGTAATGTTTAGAATATTTGAACAGTATTATTTAATTCGTTATAAAAATATATGACTTAGCATGTGAAACTTTTGACGAATTTTAAACTGTCATCGAAGTAGACATTATTTAACTACTTGAAATACCACGGTTAATAACTTTATTTAGAAGAAAAAACGAAATAATTTTAGAAAACGCGCATAATTAATCTAGTAATTACACGAGTGCATCATGCGTACCACTAAAAGATACTGTAATATAGTATGCATATTGCTCGACGTATTTTCACATATAATTTAAAAAATTTAAACTGTCACCGCGTAAAACAGTGCGCAGTGTTATTGACATAAATAAAAATCGTAAATTGAATTTACGAAAATCCTTTAAAATACCATTGCTTTAATTAACTATGTACAAACGTTGTATTGTATGCGATATCAATCACATTACTTTAAACAGTTAATTTTAGTAGAATATATTTTCGAATATCATTTAATATTAGTCGTCCGAGAAAAACAAATAGCTATTGATCATATATTATATAAACGTAGGAGCTCAAGTGATTTCTGACTCCACCAGAAATCCCAGTTCATGCATGCCGATTATTACATGCATTACGAGTATGATACAATACAATATGGTATATGTTTACGTACATATATATATATATATATATATTATATCGTTCATGGTGTGTGTATGGGGCGAGGCGGTTAACATTGCTTGACAGCCGGCCAAGTTTTGTGCGTTATGAATTATTGTTTACGGCAACGACGACTGTTGCTGTGGCAAACGAATATGAGTTTTGCCAAGGCACGTCTGCTTTTATAAATTATTTTGTCCGTCGTATGCAGTATATGCGTACACCATATATATACATGTCATACCAAACACACTGGTTTAGGGCTCGGTAAGTAATTTCTATTGGAATTCTAATTTATAAAAATATTAAATAAACTAGGCCTAGAAAAAAAATACATTTTACCATACTATTTATTAATTATTACTAAAATGTTTTAAAAAACTACAAAATCAATTTTGAGACAACCACGATGTGATTATTATTACTATAAAAATTACTTAGAAATTAAACTAATGTATTATAGTTATACGTTATGTTGACGGTCCAGATGTCTGCCTTTCGTAGTTAGCTAGTTATGAACCATTCCATTATTTCATAGTCTCTCGCGAAATATTCACTCTCATATGGAAACGCTGCACACTCGCATTATAATGTTAAAATTTGATACATTATATACGCATTCTAGTGGCGTAATTTTTTTTTTTTGTTATTTAAATACGCATATAGGCGAAAGGCAACATCTAGAGTTTTCAACCCTTAAAAAATTAAACAATTCACATATTATATAACAATTCTATTAATTTGCATATCATAGGAGATGTATTTTTATATTATCAAAAAAAGAAACGTTAAACATTATATTAACTAATAAGGTAATAATGTGCGTCTTTTTCATGTATTTAGTAATCAAAGCCAAATTACTAAAATTTTACATTTTAAACAGATAAATGTATAGTCCTTGCTTGGTCCAGACACCGGCACACTGGTGCATTCGCATATTGTATAACTGCAGAGTAATATTATAATATTATCGAATAATCCGTACTCAGCACGTATTATTATTATTATTATTATTATTATGACGTGTCCATTGAGACAGACGTTTTGTTCCCTTTGTCTAGATATTATGAGCGAAACAAATACACGAAAAATAATAATAACAATATATATGTATAAACGTATAATATTATTATATTTGTTTACGCTGTACACATAAACGCTCTGCCGCCGCCGCCGCCAACGACGACGACGACAGGTGTTCTCCTGTATTGTAAGGAACTTGCACTTTTTTTTTTCATCACACGATTTTTATTCTATGAATCGCATTTTAACACCTTGTCTGTTCGTCTGTAGGTCCGCGAGTTTATTGTTATATAAATGCGTGTGTATAGCGACGACGGTGGCAATACAATACGTCGCTTCCAATGTTCCACTGTATGTGTGTATGACGTGTGCAATTATGTCCGTCAACGAGGGAAGTGCTGTTAAAATAATGTATTATTAAACTTACGTACAACATAATATGATTCTTATTATCAGCGCTGTGACAAAGATTTTTTTCTCGGCGTGTTTCAACATTTTTCTTATTCGAGTAGATGATTTTTTCTAT